ACCCCACCCCACCCCACCCCCGTTACTGAAAACTACTTAAATACAAGTACTATCTCACATTTTTCTGTCCCACATAATATCTTTACAAAGAAGGGGCTGAATAAATTGATTACTGAATTTTAAGGTGAAAAATTACTGACCTTCCAGATACTGTATGTGTCCAGGCCTTACAAAAAATATTCTCAATCTGTTCACATTTCACAAATATCTATTTTGAAGAGGCTTACTATCTAGCTGGGGAGTCAGACAATACATAATTTCACCACTGATTACTTCATTATATTATAAACTGACATCTCCCTGAGGAAATAATACATAGAACAAGATTTGGATGACTAGGAATTGGCCTGATAAAAGAAGACCCTTTGAAAAAGTGTTAAAGCAGATGTGTTTAAGGAATAAGGAAGGCCAGTGTGACTGAAGTGTGTCAGAAGAGAAAACCTTCAGTCCTTTAAGAAACTCCTGTTACTTAGTTTCAAACTTTAGTCTTAAGAAAGAGATCCCATTCTGACATCTGTTGGCTAGTGTATATACTGCAATTCCAGATTTTACTATGGAACAACCTTCAGTAACCTATTTTTTGAAGGCTATGATAATAAATTGGAAATAAAGCACCAGGTCTTTTTCTTACTTTGTATTACAGCCATCACACAGGAGACTGTGAATAGTTGTTGCCTACATGTTATTTGCATGCACTATCACATAAATAGGGTGCCATTTGCCTACTTTTGTACAACTTCACAAAAGCTTATATAGAAATCACAAATATAAAGGTTGAACAGACTTTACGAGATAAAAACATTACAAAATCACTTATTTGCTTTGTCTTCTAAACATCTGATGAAATATTCCTTCATAAATAAAACACATAGCTGGCTTTAGTCTAATAGGCATTCTACTAAGTCTAAAGATTTCCTTTAAGCATGTCTGACCGTTTTTCTCAGTCACAGTAAGAGTATCTTAATTTTCCACTTATGTCTATAAAGGAGAAAAATATTTAATATTACGTAAACAGCTGTACAGTGATACTGCTGCATTTGAAACAAGTTACACTGGCAGCTGCCTCACTATGCAGTTGCTTGAAATATTAATCAGCTGACATTAAAAATATGAACTTGGTGAACAAAGGGTGATTTAGAGACATCAATATGTAATGTGAAAATGTGGGTTATTGGAGAGCAAAGTATACGTCAGGAAGGAGCACTAGAATTAGTCCTAGGTTACAGCTTCAGCTCTGCTGTTATGTGACTATATGAATCAGAATTTTTACTTGCAAATACCAAAATCCAGTTTTGGTAGATTTAGGGAGAAAAGTAATTTATTAAAAACATTATAGGTAGTTTAGCATCACCAGGAGGCCTTGAGAATCGGGCTTGGAGACTATTGGAACATCATCCTTTGTCACGTGGTCCCTCCACACAACCTGGTGCAGTGAAGTTGCCATCTTGCTGAGGGTTAGATGCCATCATTTATAACCAAGGCCACAGGCACAGAACCCTGGACTATTATGGCAGCTAGTATTGCTCTGAGAACTTCGTCAGGCTGCATTTGCTATGATCACCAAATAATTATTTCATGTCTACCTTGCTGTGTCTCTGGTTCCCAATTCAAAGTCCAAGGAATATTTAATTTGTAATGTCACATAAAGCACAGAAAATATCTAGATTTCAGCTTCTATAATGAAAAGCATGCTCTGATTCTCAACAATTCATAAGATGGGGAATTCTCAAACGTAGGAACGGCGTTCTGATTCTGCACAGCCAAAAAAGATGACTGAAGGCCATTACGTTGACCCTGGACAAATCTCTCTGAGGTTACTTTTCTATAAAGCAAGGTAAATAAAGTTCACATGGCTAAGTAGATTTTGTATGTGTACTCATTCATTTCACAATACCAACTATGTCAAGCAAAGATGAGCAAGTAGGCTCTCTAATGGAGGAGAAAAATCCATAGCAAATGGTAGGATAGAGGCACACACAGGAGAAATGAGAGCAGTAAAAAAGAAGGTGCAACTGCAGTTCGTGAATGATGTTTTTATTTTTAACTACCTATATACAAAATCAGACTCCATTCAGCACCGCTAAAGGGGGAAAAAGCATACTCTTGTAGAAAGCTGCTGTTGCACTCCTTTAAAAGTCTTAACTGTTTTATAGAAAAGCCAAAATAATGTTGGCTGGCACAAATCCAGAAATTCAGACTTTGATTATTGACAGACATACCTAGACTGCCAGTTTCATACAATGGGGTACTTTACAAAGGATTAAACGTGTCATAACTTTTGCCAGTCATCAATAAGATACATCATCAAACTCATTGTAGTGTAAACCAATCATTATGATCTGACCTGACCTAAGTCACAGTGGTCTTTCTACTAAATCTGGTTACTATGTGTACAACTTTGTGTCTGCTTAAAATAAACTTGGCTTTAGGCTTAGGGTGTTTTTCTTTTGTTTCCATTTATAAAAGAGAGCAGCTGCATGGTAACTTGGGACTCACCCAGAATCTACAATAATACCAAATTCATATGGTAATAATAGATGGAGATATTTTTATAGAATACATTCGATAGAACCAGGGACTGACAGATCAATGGAGCCACAGGGGTCAGCTATTACAAACCTCAGTCTGATGCAATAATTTCTTTTTCACAGCATTCTCAAGTTAGATTTCTGTAGCTGACATTCTCTTCTAAAATCCGGGATCTATATCCAACTGCCTTTTTGATCACCTTATTTGGATGACAAACAAGCATCTTAAATTTAGCAAGTGCAAAATTGAGTCCTTGATCTCTCCCCACCTCCAACTATGTTCTCCTTACAACAGTCACATTTCAATAAATAATATCTCCATGGGCCAAGTCAGTAGGTTCAGCTAGAAGGCTGGGAATCCCCCTAATTTCCCACATCAAGCCAATTTTGACTCTACTTCAGAAATGTATCTCAAATCAATTTCTATTTTCACTACCATTACTCCAGTCCAAGTCTTAACCAATCTCCCTGGTTCCACTCTTACCTTTGTCTAGTCTCCACATAGTAGCTGGCATACTTTAAAAAAATATATATATATATCAAGTCACCCACATTTCCACTCATTCAATGGCTTCCTTTTACATAAAATTTTAAAATCCTAATATAGTCTACTAAGTGCTGCATGATCTGGCCCCTAACTACCTCTCTAATTTCCCTCATACTGTTCTCTCCTTAACCCAGTTAGCTCTGACAAACATCTTCCATTTACCCAAAGAGCAAGCTTCTCCACCCAGCCCCACTCCACCCGAGACTTCACACGGGCTTTCCCTCTTCTCTTCCAACTAGCTAACTCTTTACCTTTCTGAGAGGTCTCTGACCACCCTCCCTTGGCCCCTAATTTTAAATCAAGTTTCCTTCAGTGCACTTACCATAATTTAAAATACATATTTATTTAAATGATATTCGATTAATGATCACCTCCACTTGAGAATTAACTTCAAGAGGACAGGAACCTTATCAACTTTGACCATATCCATGCCCATAAAAGCAGCAGCAGCAACAACTAACATTTACTATGTGGCAGGCACTGTGTGAAACCCTAAATCTATAAAAATTTTATACATCCTTCCAGTATCTTGTATGCCCCATAGCCAGTGGTCAGTCTGTTGAATGAATGAACTCAGCCCCTATGAATACACCTACAAGTTGCTTAGCAGCTCCTGAAACAGCCCTATATAAACAAGTCTGGTGGTTGGAAGAATCTTTATATTGACCCCAGCAAACTTCCCTGCAATTTCCGCCCACCGATTCTATTTCTGCCCCTTCTGGGGCCACGCAGTACAAGCCTTAATCGTCCTCCCACAAGCTCGACTTCGCAGCATCTGAAGCTCCATCCATCCCCCGCTCGTGTCTCTTCCCTCCTGGGCCTTCCCTGCAAGAGATTCCCTGGGGGTCCTGTTCCGCAGGAGTGGTCCAGAAGCCTGCGCCGGCCGCGGACCCGCGGCTCCCAGCATCCCCCGCCTCACGCAGTCACGTGACTGCGCCCGCCCCGCACGAGCCCGGCAACTGTCCGCCCCCGGGCGGGGCTCGCGGCGCGTCCGCCTGTCTCTGGCCGCGCGCGCCGCAGTCTTCGCGGCTCTGCTGCGGCTCCGACGCACACAACCCGGACGGCGTGGGTGAGCGCCCCCGAAAGCTCTTGGCGAGGTGAGAAGCAGCCGGCCCTCGGAGGCTACGGGCGAACTTGTTCTACTCGCATCCCCGGGATGCCCCGGGCCCGGAGCTGGGGGCGGCCCGAGGGAGGGGCTCGGGTGCCTGGGGGTCGCTGCAGGGAACCTGGGGTGCTTCATGAGGTGACCCTTCCAGGAGGCGCCGCTCGGTCCGGGCAGAGGCCGAGCATCTGGCCTTGGCGTGGGCTGGGGGATGCCCTCGCGGCCTCGCGCTCCTGCACTCTGCTGGCACCTGGAAGCTTAGTTGGCACCTGAACGGTTAGCCGCGCCAAGAAAGGACTGTGCCTTGGTTTCCCCTCCTGTAAAATGATCGGGCCAGGAAGGTGGATATCTGAGGTTGTCTTCAGCTCTGAGGTTTTGCAGTTGTGTAAGTGAAGTAAGTCCAAGAGGAAGAAGCAGACTCTTGGGATGCAAGGAGCTCTCTCACCTAGGAACGTAGGAGCGAGTGTTTGAGCCGGGCACCGATTAAGTGTCTTCTGTTTTGTGCAAATGGCAAGCCTCTTGGAGACTTAGTTTCTCCATCTTTAGAGTAAAGATGATGACCCCTGCCCTACCTCCCGCGTAGGAGTACAGTGAAGAATGGAAAGCCATTCGAAGAGCTAGAATTGTGGAGGCAGTTAGACCTGGGTTCAGGTCCTAGTTCTGCCACTTACTTGCTGTGTAACCTCGAGCCTTATAGAACCCTCATCTATTTAAAGGAGGTAATAATAGTTCTTAGCTCATGAAGTTGTTGTAAGGATTAAGTTTAAAGGGCTTAGTGCCGTGTCTGGCACAGAAGTGCTCAATAGATGGTGCTATTAATATAAGTATTATTAAATTAGTAAGCTTTCACATGAAGGGTGTTTAGAATAATCCCACTTCAGTTTCTATATATTTAATCCTAAAATGAGTACAGTTTTGATTTCTTAAGGGCCAA